TAGGAGGTGGGTTGAAAAGGCGGGAAGGGATATCGTTAGGATAGACAGACTAGGGAAGACATTTTTGAGCCACCTTTGGCAAAGTAGAAAGGAACGATTGGCCATCGGTGATCGGTCCTGTGGGAACAATGCTCCGTCCTCTCTAGGACGCGTGGTCAATGGTCTAACCACTAAGGCATGCAAGACATAAGAGTACGCCCCCCCCCGGTTCAGATCTGGTTGCACCCCAAAGGAGAGAAACAGGCGTCTCGAGAGAGAACGTGACCGTTCTTCCAAACACACGTTCTGATTGCGCCGACGCTAGACGCTGCAAAAACAAGTCAACAGCAAGGGAGAGAGAGCTCGATCGGAACCACGCATCGGCTACTGTGCGGTTCCCGACCCAAGCAGCTGCGGAGATCAAGGGAAAACACACAGAGGGAGAGCCTCACAAGGGGGCTACTGGCATGCAGCAGCACCTAAAAAATGGCTGAAAGGAGACAGGCCTACTCTACGCACAGGTCGGCAGGAGCAGCACCGTGCCAAGCACTCTTGGCTGGCCACTTCCAGCCGGACACAACGGCCGTCGGTAAACACGACCTGAATCTCCCAATCGTTCTCGCGATAAAAATCAAGGGCGAGCACCGCAGAAGGAAGGAGGAGAAAATAACTTGGATGTTTGAAACTCAAGTGGGTGGTTTTCATTCCTCCTGTCTGCGTGACCCCGGCTGGTGCGTCCAGATTGTTAATTTTACAAAAGGTGAAAAAACCGACATCCAGAAAGAAAGGCCAAGACAAAAAAAACAGCGCTTCGCATGCAACACGGGCGCGAACGGAAGAAGCAAGCGACGGGCACCGGCACCGGCACCAGCACCAGCACCAGAACCAAACTTGAAACGTCGAAAGACAACGCACCGCAGTCCCTCTTTCACACGTCCATCTGCAAGAGCACCCAAACTTCCTGTTGCCGACACCTCTTTCTCTCTTTCTACCACCTTCCCCCCCCGCCTCTACCCCTTCCTCCCCGTCTCACATGGCGAACGGCTGATTGGCCATGACCTCCGCCATGAACGGCCGCTGGTCCGAGGTGCCCGCAAGCTTGTCACGCTTCTTGAGCAGCTTGATCACCGCCGTGTAGTTGAGCATAGCGAAGTCCTCCACGAGGAGAGCGTCGCGGTAGAAGTTCACGCACGCCTGCAGCAAAGAGGGGCGGCGGGGGAGATTTGGGGTGGGTGGGTACGGATCTCCACAGCAGTGTCTTGGGTGTCGTGCTGTCATGTGGCTTCCAATATATCACAGGGGGAAGCCCGAGGGAATGAGGTGCGTATGCCTTATGTCGTCACCCCATGCTACGCACCACTGACTGCCGTTGAGCCACACACGACGAAGGACTAGATGAGCCGTGGCGGCCAAAGCTTAAGCTTACCCAATACCCAGGATCTAAGCATACTTCAAAGTGCACACAATCGACGGTCCTCATAGCGTTAGGTAGTAACAAGAGGCCTTGGTACCGCTATTGAGGGCACTGCCGCTATTCCTCAATAGCGGTACTAGACCGCTATTCCTCCTTAGCGGTATTAACACCGCTATGGAGGATGAGAGCGGCAACGACGCCGAAGCCATTCCTCCATGCGGTATCAACACCGCCAATGAGAATGAGAGCTGCAACGAAGCCGTATTTTTTCACATACACTACGCTCGTTGGTATCATGTGTTACCTACGCCGTTGCGTCCAATAATACCCTCGTTGAGCAGCATGTTCACACCGTAGTTACTTTGAGTTAGTACTGACTCCAGATCAGTACTCTTGTGCTGGTGTACTGTGCAGGATTGAGTTCGCTCAATCAGAAATCATCACCATCGTGCAGTACTGCTGTACTGTACTGAACACTACGCCCCCCACTAGTCGTATCGTAGCAGAGCAACAAACCGTACAGAAAACAGAATGATAGCAACGCTAAATCAATCAACCACACGTGCAAACAGAGCCACACACAGCGTACACAATAAATGTTACAGAAGAGCAGACACTCCTACTGCTGCTGTGCTTGACCGACGCGCCTATGATTCAAGAAACATTCTGATGTCTGATTGCTGGACTGGTTTATTTGGCGGCGTGGGCTGCGAGGAACGACATCTTGGCCTCGCGAAGAAGATGCTCAGCCTCGTTTCCAGCCGACAGTACGTACTGCTCTAGTGGACCGAAAAATCCCGACAGATCCGAGTAACGGCGGCGGCGGCGCCATCAACTTCCTACCCCCAGCACTCTCAACCTCCCCCGTGTCCTTCAGCTCCTCCTCGTCGGAGTCGGAGTACTCTGTAAAGTTGTCATTTATCTGCTCATTGAGCGCCGCCTCCGCGTCCGCGGCGAGAGTCTTAACGACCTCATCCTGCTCCTCTAGGTGCACCCCGAGACTCGACCTCCTCGATGGCTGCCGGGGTGGCGGGCTTACATATCCGGGACGATGCCGAGGTACGAGAGTACCTCTGGGTCTTGTTCACCACCTCGCCCCACAGCTACCTCCTCCACGCCCATACTGAGCGCATTGAGTGCAGCCGTCAGCCCGTCCACCCCTGAATCCTCATGACCTTTTATGCTCCTCTTGCCTTTGTCTTGCATTATATTGTCCTTTACAGCGGCACAATACCCCTATAAAGGATTCATTCCTCAGTAGCGGCACAAGTACCGCTATTGAGGGATGCATTCGTGCCAAGCGACTTTGCTGCCGTTATAGGGGGCATCTCGCTATTGAGGGCACCGCTATTGAGGACCGTCGACTGTACCTACAAAGAAAGGTTGTAATCGATAGTAGAGGTTGCAAACCAACGCCGGCCTGCATCCATGGATGAGCATCTCTATCCATGGATGGGCGAGTTTTCTACAGCGTAATTCTTGAACGCGAAGGGCTACAACTGTTGCACGCCTTTGTCGACGTACATCCAAAAGAGATAGAACATTAACATCGACTTCCTCAGTCAGTCTCGTCATGTAACTGCCACCCCTACCATACATAGTACCACACACCTGCATGAGCTTCATGTGCGCGCCCTTGACGCTGCTGAGGCGGCTAAGGTCCGGCCTCTTCAGGTGATCCAGCGCCAGCTGCAAGCGCTCGGTCCGTGCCTTTTGACGGAGCACAGCGACAGAGGCATGCATAGGTGTCGTCGGTACGGGCACACATGCGAATGAGTTTCGAGCAGCAGAAGCAGCACCAATCACAACACGGCAGAAGGGGAACCAACCACTCGGAATGCCTGCGACAAGCACAAAAAGTGACGGTGAAGGTGGGAAAAAATAATATACACCCACGGGTACGCACATAAGCCATGCACTCGTAACTTGGGAGTCCCGCCTATATAGACCTGCACGAACACTGTTACCACCCACGAGCGACCTAGCACCTATCCAGGCGATACCAACCGAGAAAGACAGTGAACAGCAACAACCTTTGCATGGGCCCGCCGCGCCGAACCGCCGAACCGCCAAGCTAAATCGACCCCACGACGAAAGTGGTACGTATTTACCATTGTTGTTGTTGTTGCTGTTGTCTTCACATTAAAAACCGTTCCGATCTCTCTCCACCCAGTACCTTCATATGTCCGTACTGACCCAACACTTCACACGGTCGATTCCCGTGGTCACAGGCTTACTTCCTCTAAAAAGGTACACTCAAATAAACTGGCCCCGAGGGGTCTGCAAGTCAAACAGATATTCTGGAGTTCTCCGCTCCCTCTGCGCGCACGTAGCTGGGAGGCCGGCCACTCCGATTTTTGCGACACGCTCTCTCTCACGGCGGAGCAGCACACAGCGAAGTAAGTGCACAGACGCACACAAACATCGCGTGCGACGACGACCTAGACAAAGGCATAGACCAAGGGTCTGTGCGAAAAAAAAATCCGGACACACAGGCCCTATCCTCCCCGTTTTGGAGGGGGGAGATATTCTAAACTATACCACGAATCGTGGAAAGGTTGCGATGAGGTTAAAATGAATTGAAAACATGCCTCGCTCTCGTTACTCCTTTCGCATCTGCTCGTCAGAAGATCCGGCCCACGCTCAGCCGTGCTATAGGAACACACATACGGTAGTGCCCCATTCCTACGAAAGCACAGTACATTCGGCCAAAGCTCGCCATGAGCAAAGCAGCTCAGCTAACCATGCAACACAACCACAGCCACCTGCCTTGCAAACTTGCCTTTACCATTTCTAGCACTGCACAACAGGGAACATAGTCTCGCAAATCTACTCGTAGCCTTGGTCTTGTAGGGTTACGTTTGACTTGATCTAACCCTGACTCTAACCCTAACCTAACGCCTACCGCCAAAGCGCCGACGCCTCGGGGGTCACCCGGGGATACATGGGTATATGTCCCCGCCCCCCCCCTAAATCACCCCCCCCTCATCCCCCCCATCGGTGTTTGCCATCGGGATTGGGTTTTCGTCGCTTGGCGACGACGTTGTACAACAAGCCAAGTCACCTCGTGAACTCGGCAACCAGGTTACCGGGTTTTTTTTTCGCCTCTGTTTTTTTTTGGCGGTAACCATGAATGGTGGTCGAGTAGATCATGTTATGCGGGGTCGAGAACCCTCACTCCGCGCAACGGGGATGATCGCACTACATTGTGTTAAAATGGTCAAGCACCCCCGAGGCAGTTACACAGGGCTTACAACTGTCCCTGGAAGTGAAAGCACCAGAAAATAAATTAAGTTATACGCAGCTGTCATCCGTACGCAAGGAAGTAAGCACAAGATGCCGAACACCCTTAGCAGGATGCAGCGCACCCTTCATGCGACTCGCCGAATATCTCACGGCGCTNCCCCCCCCCCCCCCCCCCCCCCTGCTGTACAATCGGGTGTGGAAAAACGAGTATACGCCAAGTAGATGGAGGGAAGGAGTGGCTGTGAACCTGTTTAAGAAAGGAGACAAGACTGACCCAGGAAACTACAGGGGGATCACACTGCTGGACATACCGAAATCATCGCGGTCTTGGCACATATCGGGGTCTTGGCACAGGATGTGCGGAAAAAAAGCGGGTTCCGAATGAGATGCTAGGATTATCGCACAGGTATCGTCGTCTCCGCACACTGCGCGGAGACGCCGATATGTGCGGTGAGGGTTGGCGGTAAGTGATACCCTTTCACCAGCATCTTGTGCTGGAAATTCCGAATACCCTGGGAGCTTGAATCGCGTGCTCCACTGCTACTGCTGCCCTTGGCACCATGACGATGTTCAAAAATGTGGTATTTGTACTCCTTGTTCTCTTCTTTTCGTTATGAAGAATCAAGATCGGCAAATCGGCAAACGGCATCCACTCAACAATTCTAAACGCAGATGAAACCAAAAACGAAGTAAAAAATCACACCAAACTACCACTACGAGCTGCTAACGTCCTACTACTGTACTTCCTAGGCGGGTTGAACCCTACTTCGTGCCCGCGCCCCTACCATCGCAAAAACATCCAATCTCACTGGCAATCCCAAAGAACTATGATTCAAACTTCGATTACTTCTCCCTCGGCGCCCCCGCCCCCCTGCTACATACTGAAACCTCACAGATGCATTGGTTTTTGCCAGACACATAGACGCGCTGAGTGGGGATAGCNCGCTACCAAAGACGCGTGACGCATGGATGCGTGGAGTGAGGATTGCTCACTGGCAATCCCAAAGAACTATGATTCAAACTTCGATTACTTCTCCCTCGGCGCCCCCGCCCCCCTGCTACATACTGAAACCTCACAGATGCATTGGTTTTTGCCAGACACATAGACGCGCTGAGTGGGGATAGCTGCATATTGAAACCTCACAGATGGATTGGTTTTTGAGTTTGCCAGACACATAGACGCGCTGAGTGGGGATAGCTACATACTGAAACCTCACGAGTTGAGTGATGTTGGATAGTGCCGGACACATTGACGCTTTGAGTGAGGAAAGACACATACTGAAACCTCACAGGTGATTTGCATTGGAGATTGCCGGACATACTTC